GAAGAAATCCTATGTTATCTAATATTATCAGTTTATTTATACCTGAAGAAACTGAGGCCTGAAGAAGTTAATTGTGATGAGCCTGTGGTCACAGTGTGGGTGACATAGGGCTACAACCAGAACCTGGCTTTTGATTTCCAGTGAAGTGCAGTTCTTACACTATTCCAATTTCTTATCTGTGTGGAGTTTTACAATTATTTTTGGTATTGGTTTAGTAGCCAGGTATTTTTCCTTAGGAACACGTCGATTAGTATTTATAATGTATAGAAAAGTATTACATGTAAATAGCTCTAAATTTTTTCTTGCATGATCTTAATATCTGTCTGTAATCCATGCTTCCCAGGTAGACTAAATTTCTGGGCCCCCTGGTTAATATTACCTTTGTCCAAAATGGAATTTTTAAAAATTCTAGAATAAATAAGACCTATAAAAATGAGTTTTAACTCTCAGAGAATCTGTGAGAATATAAATATAATTGAAAATTAAAGCATTTGTTCTTAATCTTAAAGACTTTTAATCAGCATATCTGAAATTATGGCATCAGAAAAATGTAATATTTATGAGATTGCAGATATCAGGGTCTACGTCAATGATGCCAGTATTGCCTAGATAAATCTGAATTTTGTATTAAAAAGACCATATAGAGAAACAAATTGTGTTAAAGTAAATGGTATAGTTGAAATTTTACTTCTTTCTTTTTTCCCCCCAAGTTAGCATTAGATCTGTATTCAAAATATTTCCTGATTTAAAAGACTGCTACATATTTTCCCTTGTTGAAGATCTAAATTATTAAGGAAATCCAAGAGAACTTGCCTATCATTCTAGATATTTAAAAATATAAAAAGAATGGAGTCCATTGATCCATTCATGAAGCTTTGTCCCAATACAAGTTTCTCTTAATATTGATTTTAAAGAGTAAGGTATAAGTAGATGAAATTATGGACAACTGGATTGAAATGAAGTGATTCAAAATGATTTTGATCTAGAAATGAAAGGGTTATTTTGAAAATATTAAAGGAAAGCTGTTCATATCTAACTTATATTTTAAAATTAATGATTAAAGCATTTCCCTCTAATCTCATGAAAGATTTTGTGAAGTTATTCATAAGTTGAATTTTTGAAAATTAAATCATTTTTTATGCAACATATTTTCTGATTTTTAGAATTTGGTGGCTACTTCCTTTGTACCATAAATAATCAGGATACTTGGTAAATAAGGAATACTCCATAGGACATTAAAACGATCTTAAAATACAGCACACGAATATAATGAAACTACATAATACATTTATAGACAACAAACATATTTTCTGAACAACATTAATGCCCTAATGATGGGACTTGTTTTTCACTTGATAATGAGAATTAATCATGATAAGTGATAGATTTAAAAGTATCAGTGTTTAGTGAGGATTTCCTAGGATGTTGCATATTACCTGTTAAATGTGTTGTAACATTTTAAAATAGTTCAAAGTGTACTCTGTGGCTTATTCTTGGCTTAGGTGTCTCTTAAGTGTAATGTGACATACAGATGAGAAAACCTGCTCTGAAGACTCCTTCCTTCAGTTTAACAAAAGCCACCCATTTTACAGATGATTTAACTTTGATTAACCTACTCCATTGTAACAGATTATTCCGACAACTGGAATTTCACTCTTTGGTGTTATTTCTAGGTGCAGCTTAATTTACAGAGCAGCTTTTCTTTCCATCTCACCAAAATACATCACAATTTTGATGTTAACTCAAAGTAAAAATTCAATGGTTCATTAAACCTAGTCTTAGCATTCATTGACAAGAGATTTGTCATTTTAAAAGTAACTGCTACTTTTATGCATTCTTTACTGCTCAACTTATAACCTTAGATTCCCTGTCAGAGAAAGCATGGAGTTAACCACTTAGCATATTGCAATGAATATTCATCAATAAATTGATGTGACATGGCAGTCCCATTTTTCAGTCTTCCTGCTCTGTTGCATTCTTTTTCTGTTTTAAATACATTATAGTTTATCATGTAATAAGGACTGGCTTAGAAAATCTTCAGAATTATGATATATTTTTGATCGTGTCAGTAGTCCTTTAGTAGCTATCGTATTAGTTTTTAAAAAGAGTGTATTTATTCAGAGGAACATTCTCTAATCTGGTATTACTGCTGGGCATTTTTGCCAAATATTTGATATATATATATAGATAATTGTTTAAGACCAGCTTTATAATAAAAATACGATGTTTTGTAGTTTTTAAGAAGAGCAGATCATTTTTGTTCCTTGAAATTTTATTTGGCTTAATCTTTTGACCTGTCATAGTTTTTAGATCAGTTTTTCATCCATGTAGAAAGGGAGGTAGGTACATTAACTCTAAAACAAAATCCTGAAAACATGTATCTAAATAGTTGGTAATCCATCATTCAGCTACAACTAAACTGGTCTATATGGGCAAATAGGCATAGCAAATGCCATGTAAGAGGCAGATATAGATCACTGTCTAACATACTTATCTACATTTTAAATTTTAGAAGGAAAAGATGGTCTATAAACAAGATCTTTTCTGTTAAATATGTAGATTATGAGGTCGCTTGGCACTAAAGTACTGACCATATGCATTATGACAGGAATTTGACACCTGTCATTGGAAATAGTACTTAGAAGCCGTATAATGCAACAGAGTTGAGGGAGGAAAATACAATGTGGCTAGGAGGCTGTAATTTATAATTCACAGTGCTCAAGAAGACCTGTCCAGGGCGTCTCAAAATCCCCCTCTTTGATTTTAGGATTTACATACCGTAAACCCTGCAAGTAAACAAAATTGATTAGGATAACTGATAGCCAGAAAATGAAAAAATATATATATATTCTCAGACTTAATTTTTAATTGAAGTGTAAATATATCATTATTCTAAAAGAAGTCAACCTCTGAGTTAAATGTAATTAAACTGTTTTATTACATTACACCTACAGGTGATTTTATGGTAGAATTTCAAGTTGGAGCGGTACAGTATAGAATTGTCACCAGTTATACTGTTTTCAGATTAATAATCTGTTGTATATGAGAATTCATCTAAAAAGGAGTACTGTCTTTCTGTTTCTCTGTGTGATTATTTTGCCCAAAAAAAGCTTTCATTTTTTTAAGTAGCACAAAAGCTGTAATTGGCATGCTTTGTAAGGAAGTGTCAATGTGCAAGAGAGTGGCGATCACTAAGAATTCTTTTACGTGTTCTTTCCCCTTTGCACCACCGCCTCCTCAGCAGGGTCACTGAGATCACTAGCTTTTCTTGAAATGGCCATTTTCACTGGCAGGTGCATTATACCCTGTATTTTCAGATTGTTTTTCCATTCTGAATGTTTGGCAGGTTGATTGCTCTGGCTGCATTGACGGAGAAAGGGCTGACAAATGCGGTTGGGCTGGCTGAAAAGACAGTGATTACTGTTTTCCTTTGTGGCTGATTGAGGCCCTTGAAAGGAAAAATTTTAACCTTCACCATTTGGTTCAAAAGTATGAGCATATATTGAAATCATTCGTGCCATTTATCCTAGTTCTGTAAACTTGTCAGAACGTAAAAATCGCTCAATTTCATGTAATGTAGGATTGGCATACGTCATTATCATTTTGATTAAGTTGGAGGTTGTATCATTGTGTGCATTATACAGTGTCATTTAAAGCTTTCTTTCCTACAGGTACAGCTATATTTTTATTGCTTATACTATAGACTTTGAAAGATTTTCATAGCTCTCCAAACCTAACACTATGTGTGTGGTTTGGCAGCTGGTGTGGCCTACAAGCTGCATTTTGTTTGCAGGGTAAAGGCTTATCTGTAGGCCTCCTGGAGTGTGGGTAATTGAACAGTCTCACCATTGGGGAGAGACCGGATTGGAAGCAGCCAGGCGGAAGAATGTTGTGCCATCCCTTTGCCACCTTGTAGCAGAAAGACGCAATCCCAGCAGTGCCATCTGGTTGTTGCTATCTAGTCAGCTGGCCTGGCTGCTGGGACCATGACTTGGCAGCTGGTTCCCATCCTTGACCATTCTTTTGTGTATGGAGCATGTATGTGTGCTTTAGATAATTTTGAACATGGGTTGGGGAAATGACTATAAATAACAAGTCCCTTTATTGAATAGGGTCTCATTACTTAAGATGCACTCTGCTGCAGACGCCTGCTGCCATTCCCTTATAGACAAATGACACATCTGTTTAGGCAATAAAAATAAGCATTTTCTTCATAAAATCTGTCTCAGTATATAGTAAAAGAGAAGGTAGGCAGAGTTGTATGCTCTATAACATTTTAAAGTAAGTGATTTTAAGTTAGTTCTTGGTTTGGAGAGGAGATTTAGTAATAGTCTTCTTATAAACATTGTATATTATCTCAGTATATATTTTTATTCCAAGTTAAGAAAACATTATTTTAAGTGCTTATTGCACATCATGCAATGGTAGATAATGAGACTTGCATTTAAAATGACAGAATAGAAAATGTGGTCTCATAGCTATTATCTTTAAAATCTGCCTCTCAAATAGCAACCTGAGAGTTAATGTAAGCCGTCTTTATGCCATATGAAGACCCATTAGACGCTGATGGTTTCAGATCACAAGTAAGCAGCCAGCTCTGTAGGCTATTTTAGACATTTGATTTTCTTCATTCTACAGCATTAATGTGTCAGCATGCTACATAAAACTATGCAGGAGTTGCATGTTGTTCTGTCTGGAATGATAAATGCTTGCAAGCTTTTAGAGATTTCCATGAGGAATTTGTCCTAGTTGCTTATATATCTTCAGTTTATGTAGCTACAAAATTTGGAATGACTATTAGAGGTACCACATAGGTATGTATAAACACCAAGAAGTTCCACTTATTTCTTTCTTTAAAATTGTGTTGATGCTTGTTCTGTCTTATCAGTGGTTTACTTTTGCATTTATGTAAAGTTAGTTGTATACCTTCTGAACTGTTGCTCAAAAGTTCAGTTATTTTCATAAAAATAATTTTTGTGTTTTTCTGGGTTTTTTTTCAGATGAAGAGGAAGAAGATGATGTGGTGACTCCTAAACCACCTATTGAACCTGAAGAAGAGAAAACTTTAAAGAAAGATGAAGAAAATGATAGTAAAGGTATCTTAAAGAATTAACTTTAAAAGATTTTGTTGATTCTTATTAAAATTTTTTTTTTTTGTTATTTACGTGTTAAAGTAGACTCCAATGCTCTAAATGAAAGAGGTGAATCTGGTTGGAAAAAAATATGTGGCATTCATTGATCCAAACTGATAGTGAATTGACAGGATTTGACGGACGTAAATTAGACTGACTTCAGGAAAATATTTGTTTTCCAGCTCCCCCTCATGAGCTGACTGAAGAAGAAAAGCAACAAATCTTACACTCAGAGGAATTTTTAAGTTTCTTTGACCATTCTACAAGAATTGTAGAAAGAGCCCTTTCTGAGCAGATTAACATCTTCTTTGACTACAGTGGAAGAGATTTGGAAGACAAAGAAGGGTAATGTTTAATTGCTAAAATTATGGCTTTAGCAATGTTACTTTAAGATTACCTAAATTACTTTCAGATCAAGAGTGAGAAGTTGTAACATCATCTTTTTTTGGATTTGGTTTTTTTCTGTAGAGAGATTCAAGCAGGTGCTAAACTGTCATTAAATCGACAATTTTTTGATGAACGTTGGTCAAAGCATCGTGTTGTTAGTTGTTTGGATTGGTCATCTCAGGTAAATTGTAACAGAATTGGTTACTCGTTTTTAAATTAAAATTAACAAGCACTTTTAATTATGGAAATTTTGTGTAATTAAATCAGTGTATGTCATTTAGAGTAATAATGGATGATGGTTCTGTTATTGTATTCATTTTATCTTAAATACTTTGGAAGAAAGGATTAGAAACATCATTTAAAACTCAAAATTGAATTTATGCCACAACCCGGGTTTGCTAATTTCAGTTGCTCACCATATTCTTTGGTTAAAATTGCAACGTGTTTTAATAAAATGTTTTAATGTTAAAACACTTTAAATAACTAACTATACTAATTTAGAGTTTTACTAACACCTCAGTAATCGTAACTCTCGTGACACCTTTCTTGGGGAAATGTTAAATATTTGTATTTTCAAAATAATTTGATAAAAATAGTTGAGTCACTAAGAGTGTGAAACATTTCTTATGCGTAGCAATTTTTTCTCCACTTGATTCTTGTGAGCAGTATCCAGAGCTACTCGTGGCTTCTTATAATAACAATGAAGATGCTCCTCATGAACCTGATGGTGTAGCCCTTGTATGGAATATGAAATACAAAAAAACTACCCCAGAATATGTGTTTCACTGCCAGGTAAGATGGTGTTTTAACAGTCTTCCCTAAGTTTAAGAATTCATTAGTGAATTTAGACAAGTGCCTTTTTTCTTTTCTTGTCAACATAATGATTTCATTGGATTGGCATTTACTAAACCACCTCATATTTGCAAACAGATGTTAACAGAAAACTGAAGACTTTTCAGTTCAACATGATCTGCCTTTTGTAGCTTTTCTGACATCTCTTATGTTTAATCACACCTGAAGTCCTTTGCAGTTGTGATTTTCTGTTATTGTGATTGATTATATAAAAGAAATCTTTTATATAATGTCTTTTCTACAGGGAGTTTCTCATGAACTTACTTGCTGAAAAAACAATTAGACGGTCAGCCCACTGAATTACTTATACGTGGCCTGAGGAGTTGGAACTAGATAGTTTTAAGTAGAAACATATGTTTGAAGTAGGAAACAGATGCAGATTTTTAAAGTGAGTTTAGTGGAAGGTTAGAATTTGCAAGCCTTTTCTAGTTGCATAAATTATAATCTTTTAATAATCATAATTCTGAAAAAAATGCTTAACTGAATCAAAACTAGCTTATACTCTGTTGTCAGATTACTGTTAGAACCAGTTGTCTTTTGATTTAATACTGTAATCAAACAATAATTTTTTTGCTTTCTTTATAGATTGAATACATTTATATAAGCAATCATTACATTTGACTTAAGCAAAAACTATTCTAAAGGTATATTTTTATATTCTGAAATAAAATGAAATTTTTAAACGAATTAATTTACGTCTTTTTATAATCTCTAATACCTTACAATAAAAGGGAAAATGTTTGTGTGTAGATTTATTTTTATAACTTATCAGGCTTCTTCCATTTGAACCTTAAGTATAGAAATCTTACTTATTTACAGTCAGCTGTGATGTCTGCTACGTTTGCAAAATTTCATCCAAATCTGGTTGTTGGTGGTACATATTCAGGCCAAATTGTGCTGTGGGATAACCGTAGCAATAAAAGAACTCCAGTGCAGAGAACTCCGCTGTCAGCTGCTGCACACACAGTAAGTAGTAAAGAGGTTATTTCCATTAGATTTCTGTGCTGCTTCACCATTAAATGCTTAGTAGTGTCCATCAGAGAAGTCTCAGAATGTGTTTCCTTTGATGTATGAATTCTTCATCAGTTGGCCACCAAAAATGAAGGCCTTTTTTTTTTGTATTTTTAGAAATCTGTTTTATTAAAAACTCATATATCTTCTGAGACAAGCTTTTATTAATTAACAGAATAGCATCAAACGTCACATTAAAAATATCATCAAGATATGAGACTGTTTTGATGTGAAACAGAATACCTGTGATTTTAGTGTAAAAATGGTTCCATCTTTTTGGCAAAATAATCTCAGAAAATGTCTTTTAACATCTCTTTAGCATCCTGTATATTGTGTAAATGTTGTTGGAACACAAAATGCTCACAATCTGATTAGCATATCTACTGATGGAAAAATTTGTTCATGGAGTCTGGACATGCTTTCCCATCCACAGGTAGGTTAAACTTGGAAAACTGAAATTTTGAGACAGATGTTATTCTTTAAGTCCATTGTAAATCCCAGCTTATGTTTTTTCATAAATGTTTTACAATAGTATTATGATAACAGCTTATAAATCTGACCTGTTAGATATAGTTTGTCATGATATACTTTATTTTCAAACCTATTTCATTTCAATCAAAGTAAATTTGTATAAGTATTATAATAAAAGAATTGTTTATAAACCAATTAAAACTAGAAATGTTTCTTAGAAAATTAAAAGTTGCAAACTTAGAAAATAATTTCCTCAATTTTTTCTACATAGGATAGCATGGAATTGGTTCATAAACAGTCAAAGGCAGTAGCTGTGACATCTATGTCCTTCCCTATTGGAGATGTCAACAACTTTGTTGTTGGGAGTGAAGAAGGTTCGGTGTACACAGCATGCCGCCATGGCAGGTAAATCTAAACTGGAATTTGAAATTACTTAAATTTCTTCCTTTAATAGTCTCATTAAAACAAATTGCCCCTTGTTTAAGTAGAAATTTGTCATAGAGCCACTCATTATTTTTGACAAATTGTATTTGAGTTCAGGTATATAAAATTAAAACTTAAATACTTTTTAAAATAAAAGGTTATTTTGGATCATGATATGTTCTGGATCTTACGGGTTGTGGTGTGTTATGGTTTTGTATGTATGCATGTACTCACAGAAGTTAATGGTAGGAAGTAGCTTTCAGTAGTTGCAAATATAATATGCACATGCCACATACTGACCCTTAAAGTTGTAAATAAGATTTTCAGCTGTTTTTCCATTTTGATTTATTTGGACTTTGAGCTTTAGTTCATCTTCCTGATAATTGTGTAGTAATGTCACGTACACATTTTAAATTGACTAGTATTTCTCCTGCTGTTCAATCTGTTTTGAAATTGTCTAGCTGTACCTTATCAATTGCTTCCTTAAAAAAGAAAAATGGAGTGTCCAGATTTCATCTCAAATACAGATCACCTTCACTTCAAAGCTTTTGATATAAAAATAGTAGCCCAGATTTTCTCTCTTACATATAGCCTCCCTTTGTCTCTATTCCATCACCTCAGATAATTGGACTTGTGAGTTGTATTGTCAACAAGCATTTTTATAGTTCAAACTGTACTTACTGTTTTAGTAGTGTTATCAAATCTGGATTGAGTAACACTCAACATAAGTTACTCTGATGTGTTATGAGCAGAGTTAGGTTGGTTGAAATTATGTAAAAATCTGATATATAATCCTTAATAAGATGTATTTATAAGCAGTCTACTTCCAAGAGATTTTCCTAATATTTTCACTTTTATGAAATAGCAAAGCTGGAATCAGTGAGATGTTTGAGGGACATCAAGGACCAATTACTGGTATCCATTGTCATGCAGCTGTTGGAGCAGTGGACTTCTCACATCTTTTTGTCACTTCATCATTTGACTGGACAGTAAAACTTTGGACAACTAAGGTATCTAAAAACACCAGATGGCTGCTCATTTCCTTGGGTTTCTGACACAAGGTGGTGCTCTAATACTACACAGGAAAGACGAAAAGCTTTCTAATAGCTTAGAATGATCCACTGATAGATTAAACCTGCTAAGAAGTTATACTGAATGGGAGTGAGCCACTGGATGTTGTAGTTTTCATAAAAGTGTGCTGACAAATATGTTAACCCCACGTAACCAAAGACCAGTCTTCCCATTTTAGGCTCTTCAAGCACAGAACTGTTTACTCTGAATTGAGTTGGGGAAAAAGCACCTGATTATCTCTCATAGCACCTTACATAGCTGTGTATAGCCCAGCACAAAAGCCATACATTTGCTCTTGGAAGAGCTTTTACAGGCTGCAGTGGCTCACAGAGCTGCTGGAAAATGGAGAAAAGACAGATAATGGATGTACAATAAGTCCTATACAATAAGGCTATAATAACAAACTTAAGTCATTAAGGAAATATTGTTAAAGGCAGGGATGAATATATATTTTTGTTTTCCATAATAAAAAAATTAGTTTGTTTTGCTTTTAATTAGCTTCAGTTGTTTGAAAAACCTACTATGTTATAAAGTGATTCCTGATCCTCTAGCAATTCCAGATAAATGTGACATTGACCTGCTCCAGTGAAAGTCTCAAGGCAAATCCAAGTAGGGAATGTTACTTCTTGTGATAGGCCTTGTAGTTTCATTTGACCCTATATTAAATTTAACAAGCCCTTCAGGTCATGATCCCGGGGTCCTGGGGTCGAGTCCCGCATCGGGCTCCCTGCTCCTTGGGAGCCTGCTTCTCCCTCTGCCTCTCTCTCTCTCTCTCTCTGTCTCTCATGAATAAATAAATAAAATCTTTAAAAAAAAAAAGTATTAAATTTAAGAAGTGTTGACTTTTCTATCTGGCTTTTCTGCAGTATTACATTGTAGTTGGCAAAGCTGCATAATCAGAATATCAGATTCTATCTAAATGAAGTTAAATTTTAAGCTGTATTTTTTCATGTTTCTATTTGCCTTATTCTAAATGTTGACTTTTTGAATATATTATCATGAGACAGAGTTTAGAAACCTTATTTGGTTCTTCAGCTTCTTTGAGGAAACCTAGTGGTCTTAAGAGATGTTCTTTACTGTTACAGTGAACTCATATTTATATATCAAAAGTTGGCCTCAGAAATCTAGGATGGACTTACTGTTCACTCTTGTTCTTTCATGATGCTTTCTTTCAATGTAATATGAAGTGAGTTACAAAACTTTGCCTCTAAAAGCTTGCCTTTTAAATTTGAGCGTTTTCATGTTTGGCATTAGTGAGCACAAAAATAGCACTTAAGGCTAATGAGCGAAATATATAGAAAAGTGCTTAACACAGTGTCTAACATGTAATAGTCACTTAGCAATGTTCACTTCCTCTTTCATGGGGATCAGACAGAGCCTTGAATGCATTTAATCAATCATCGGTTTTCTTTCCTGGATTGTTCTTGAGTTTTTGTTTTTTTTAATGAGAGTTTTCAGTGGAAAAGTGTAGAAGAAGAAGATTCTTGCAACTACAAGCAAAGAAACGTATAATCTAGCTAGTAAAACCAAAGCAAGGTGTAGAATAGGAGAGATGAAGCCAACTATTTCTGCATAGGCTGCAGGTAACCATACAAGTAGCTATATTTCTTGATGTGCTTTCACCTTGGTAGTCCTTTATATAGACACGGAAGCCAACTTTGTTAGGTTGTTGGCCAGCTTCCTTTTTCAGTAATTGAAAAGAATCTTTTATAAATTTGTAGATTTATTTTAATATCTCAGGGCTTTAGTTGCCAGTCTTTAGCTTTAAATTTGAGGCTCCCATCCTTGCATATATTACCAGCAGGATTGGAAAGTGAAGAATTCCTCTTCATTGCCTAAACAAGAACAGAACTTATGTCTGTGATAGCAGACTGATTGATGCTTGCTTTTGTGGTACTCACACAGCTGGTTGATTGGTGGTTGGTATTTTTTGTTCTGGTATTTTGCTGTATTTCAACATAGAACTGCCTTCTGAATAAGAATGACAGGCAGGCATATCTCTTTCTTTGCTAATTGAGCTAGGCATTGCTTCCCTCTATGTGCTTCATTTATTCATTCAACTGTGATACATGTGTCTCCTCCCTCCACACACATACACGTGTACATACCTCTCCAGTGTTAGTGGCCAAAGGATGAGCCAACATAGAACAGAGTGTTTTTATACATGTTTAAGGGCCCTCTAAAACTTTATCGGAAGATTGTCTTTTATTCTAACTTTTCTGCACAGAAGTAATTCTCTATGAAGGCTAGAACAGCAACAATCTGCTGAGTAAATGTTTTTTTATTCGGTTATATCATGGCTCCCAGTGTCACTGTTTTGATCTTGGATTTACACCTCATGGTACTTGTGTTGCTGGTATTTATTTCTACCCTGCCAAAAATCTTGATAGAGTTTCTGTGCTCTCCAACACAATGGTTATGAATAATAGGCAGGTGATTTTTTTTTTTTTTAGTTTTTTTTTTGTGGGTTTTTTTTTTATTTTTTTAAAGTTTATTTGAGGGAGCGGTGCGGCGGGGGGGGGGGGGGGGCAGAAGTAGAGTAGGAAGAGAGAATCTCCAGCAGACTCCTGCTAAGCCTAGAGCCCAACACAGGGCTTGATCTCACCCTGAGATCATGACCTGAGCTGAAACCAAGAGTCAGTCTTTTAACTGACTGAGCCATGCAGGCGCCCCAGTAGGCAATCTCTTTAGAAACATTGTTCCAATTCCATTTTAAGCTTTTTAAATCAGTATCTTCACATTCGTGAATTTAACAGACTTTAAATGTTTTTCTTTTTGGCCTCTACTTTTTTAAAGGTTTTCTGACTCAGGGAATTGAGCCCCCATAAACTAGAAGGAACGAGTTACTAAAAATTGTTGTATCTTTGTATCCTTTAAGATCTGGCTCTGCCCTAATAGCAAAACAAGATTTCTCCTTTTTCAGAAAGGAGAACCCTCCTACACTGTTGGTGGGAATGCAAGCTGGTGCAGCCACTGTGGAAAACAGTATGGAAGTTCCTCAAAAAGTTGAAAATAGAGCTACCTTACGACCCAGCAATTGCACTACTGGGTATTTACCCCAAAGATACAAAATGTAGTGATCTGAAGGGGCATGTGCACCCCAATGTTTATAGCAGCAATGTCCACAATAGCCAAACTATGGAAAGAGCCTAGATGTCCATCGATAGATGAATGGATAAAGAAGATGTGGTGTGTATACATACACACAATGGAATATTATGCAGCCATCAAAAAATATGAAATCTTGCCATTTGCAATGACGTGAATGGAACTCGAGGGTATTAAGCTAAGTGAAATAAGTCAATCAGAGAAAGACAATTTATCATATGATCTCACTGGTATGTGGAATTTGAGAAGGCAGAGGATCATAGGGGAAGAGAGGAAAAAATGAAACAAGACGAAACCAGAGAGGGAAACAAACCATAACAGACTCTTAATCTCAGAAAACTGAGGGTTGCTGAAGTGGAGGGGGGCGGGAGGGATGGAGTGGCTGGGTGATGGACATTGGGGAGGGTATGTGCTATGGTAAGCACTGTGAATTGTGTGAGACTGATGAATCACAGACCTGTACCCCTGAAACAAATAATATATGTTAATAAAAATAAATTCACAATCTCTGATGTCTTAAATCCTCTTTTATATTTTAATAGCTTCATTATTTAACTCTCAGAGAACACCAGCATTTAAAACAGGGTTAAAGAGATTCTCCTAATGCTTGGAATAGGAACTGTGCACATATTAGACAAGTTCAGATGAAAAAATGCTTCGAATTTGGAGTGTTTCTTGGGGAAGGCTGGGACCCGGTCCTCCATGTTAGCATTTACTACAGTAATCTGCTGCTGGCCAATGTCCAGACTGTTCTTTGCATATTCAGAAACTTAGTCTTGTCAGTCTTCTAGAGTGATTAGCTAGGGAGTGCTGACTGGAACTAAAAGGCTTCTAAAACACTGATATGGAGAGGGTCAATTTATTAATTTAACAATGAGAAACAACTGCCAGAAGACCCAGATACTCATGCTGGCCTGACCAGCTCATTGTTTCCCTGTAGACAACCCATGTGGGAAGCCAAATTATAATCAGAAGATTGCTTGGTGAGCAAGGAATTGGAACAAAAGAAGTTTTCTAATTTGAATGTTTAATGGCATCAAGCAAAGATGGTGTGATTCATTCATTTTCACATGGAGATAGCCTTGCCATGGGTGGTAATTCTTAGAATCCATTGGCTGAGACTCTCCTGGACAATGCTTGAACTGAGTACTGTCTTCATTTTTCTTTTAAGACTCTGCTTCTTTGTATTTCCATTGCTTTTAATAGAAACATTCCTTCTCAAAAAGTTCATATCTTCAGTCAGGTTATATAGGAAGATATTTTTGACCTTGGAATTATTTCTTTTTAAAGAGATTCTGTTGGGGTGCCTGGGTGGCTCAGTTGGTTAAGCATCTCTCAGGTCATGATCCCAGGGTCCTGGGATCTAGCCCCGAGTCGGGCTCTCTGCTCAGCGGAGAGCCTGCTTCTCCCTCCCTCTGCTGCTCCACCTGCTTGTGTTCTCTCCCCCAACCCAAAATAAAATCTTTTTTAAAAAAGACATAAATAAGTTTAATCTAATTTGCATACAACTTGCTTCATATTTTATAAAAATGGAATCATATATTTACTTATTTGTGGCTGGCTGCTTTTGCTTATTAACATTATGTTTGTGAGATTCATTCATATTGTTGAGTAGAGCTGTAGATTGTTCTCTCAGTTGTATACTATTCCATTATGTAAGTATATCACAATTTATCCATTCTACTGCTACAGTATTTGGGTTGATTCCAGTTTGGGGCTGTTATGAATAGTGCTGCTACTAGCATTGTTTATACTTCTATAAAGTTTACCCTCTGGGGCACCTGGGTGGCTCAGTCGTTAAGTGTCTGCCTTCAGCTCAGGTCATGATCCC